TTTTTTTTTTTGCTAAGGTCTCGCTAAGTTGACCAGGCTGATCTCAAACCCCTGGACTCAGGCAATTTTCTCGCCTCAGTCTCCCAAAGTGCTGGGATTACACGCTTGAGCCACTGCAGCCAGCTCATTTACTATTTTAATTTAAACTGTCCACAAGGAACTTCCCTATGACTAACCTGCACTGAATAACCTGCCTCACTTGGACCTAAATGGGGTGGGGGAGGGGCTGCCTCTGACCAGGGCCTTTCATGAAGAGACCTCACCAGCCTTCCCTTCTCCTAAATGGTGGCTCTAGCCAAGAATGTGAATTTTTAAGAGTTGAAGATGACTTGAGGTCCATGAAACTTGGCTCTGTGGCTTTATAACCCTGCCTTGTCTGCGGGGGCCTTACTCAGGCAGGATGGAAATGGTTCAGACACCTGGGCTCCAATCTACACTCTGCTCTTTCCCAGCTGTGAGCCAGTGCAGTCTGACTGCCTCCACCTTTAGCTGGGCTTTCAAGTCTCTATTAGGCCTGGGTGGTGTGGCCCAACCCGACTCTCTTCAGCATCCCTGAGTAATGGAGAGATGTCGGTCTTACTGGTCCATTCCGTCTGAGACAGGGAGGATGGAGAGTCAGGGCAATCTAAGAATATGCCTGGAGTCCAGGACAGGACATCCTGACAGTGGCCTGAGTTTTCTAGCATATTTTCTTTGTCTATACAAGCACCTGTCTTGCCTAGCATGGCAGGAGCTAGCCATGGGCTTGCACAAGGGAGGTGATGAGCATATTAGTTAAGCTTGGCACTAACTGCCCACACTCAAATCCCAGCTGTCCTACTCACCAACGTTGTGACCTTGGGTGTGTAATTGCATCTCTAAGTGCCTCTGTTCCTTGTATGTAAAATGGTTGTCTCAAGGGCTGGGTGTGGAGGGCCCAGGACAGCATTCCAGCAACATAAGCCAAATGGCCCAAGACCAGCTCCTGCCCCTGCCCCTCACTTCTGACTTGGGACTGAATAGGGGGTAGGGGAGAAAAGGCACAGAGTACAGGTGGGTAAGGCCCAGGGTGAGGAGTGAGATTTGGACCAAGAAAAACCCTCCTCCGTCATCCTAGTCCCTGTCTTTGGACTTCGAACTCAGGAGTTCATGAGGGCTGATATCTGGACAAAATGCCAAGTCTCCTCAGTGGGTGCAGCCCAGGGACCAAGTGCTCAGGCGTAGGGCGCCCTTGGAGTCTTCTTGGCTCACCCAGAACTTCTTTCCCAGGTGGCAGTGCCCTCCAGCCGCGAGGGCCAGCGGAGCCTTTCCAGGTGCGAGTGGCCAGGTTCCCTGTGGTCACTGGCTGTGGTGCCTGACTGGCCTTATTCTCCTCTCCCCCAGAAATGGGGTCTCCACAAAGGACATGAGTTGGTAGCCTGGGCTCCGAGGCGTAGCTAAGGAGGGAGGGCCGGGCTTGTGGACAGTACGCAGAGGCGGGCCAGGGTTCAGGCCCGGGTCCACGACCTCGCACGCAACCCCCAGGGTCTGTGCGTCCTGAGGGACCCCAGCGTGCCCCTACCCGTCCCTTGTCACCCCCAAGCCTGTGCACCCCGGGCCCTGTCAGCCCCCAGAGCCACCCAGCCTGTGTGCCTCCGGGTGCCCTGTGGGGCTCCCCACCCTGCCACCCCTCCAACTCTCACATCCTCTGTGACCTCCGGTGCCCTGCGCGCCCCCAACTCGGTCGCCGCTGAGAGTTCCTGGCCTTGCGCCCCCTGAGCGCCCCCGGGTGTCGGGGCCCGCCGGGGTAGCGCGGGGACACGCCCCGTGACGCATTTCCAACCGCCGGGAACTACGGTTCGGCCCGGCGCGCGCCCGACGCCCCAGGGAGCGCGCCT